CCCCAAAACCCCAAAACCCCAAAACCCCTTTGGATGAATTTATAACATTTTAAAGATATTTAGGATAAAAAAATAATAAATCAAAATGAGAAGAAATATTGGGGGTAGTTTAGGTTTACGTGCTCTATCCCTGAAATCAAATATGTCAAGACCATCTGCTCGTGCATTTTCTCACGCAGGTCAGAAGAATGTGCATGGCTAGAAAAAAAGCGTTTTCCTAAGTAATGCATTTTAGAGCAATCCCTAAAATCGAGCATTTACTTTGGTTGAAACCTCTACTGATACAAGGGATTAGTCTACCTAAAGAGTCATTGGTGGTAACTATTAACAGCAGCAAAACAGAAATATGAGTTTGGATACAGTTAAACCAAACGAAAGAGGAAAAGTGCTATTCGCTTCGATGTTTTCCCTAATGATGATTCAGACACTCTTTTTGAATGTAGAAAATATACTCCCTACTTGGATTCCTGAAAATATCCCTAGTATGACTGCTCTTTAAATATCCTTTATTATGAGGTAATATTTTATAGATTTTATAAAGGTTAAATCATTTCCTAGTGCATTTGAAGTCTCTTAGCTGGTGTTCTCTCCTTTTATTGGAAAGAATTTGGATAAGGTCGGAAGAAAAAACATGATTATAATAGGGGATGTTATAATGGTAAGATCCTAATTAAGTTGAGAATATTTATAGATCTGTTCTACAGTTGCATTAGGAGGAACCTAATGGCTTCTTGATGCTAATACATACTTGGGAGTTTGTTTAGTACTTAGATTCGTTCAAGGCATCGGGGCAGCAATGGTTTAAACATCTTGTAACATCACTATTATAACATAAATGACCTAATAGGCTATGCAATAATTACTTTTGTATTTTCAGATAACAGAGAAAAATATATTGGAATGGCTGAAGCAGTTTCAGGTATTGGCTTGATGATCGGTCCAGTAGTAGGAGGATTTTTGTACACCTTGACCAATTATTTCTGGACTTTTGCTTTCTTCTCAGCTATTCTCGCTGCCTCAGGAGTGCTAACTTTAATTGTAACCCCCAACTCCTTGAATTCTTCTCTTGGAGAGGAAGAAGAAGGTGTTGACTCTCAAGGGAATGTAAAAGAAACAAAAAAGGTTACATTTTCACTATTTTTGCTTAACAAAAGATGCGCTTTTGCTTTCATTTCAACTTCTGTAGTTTGTCTATTCATGACATACTCCTCCTCATTCTTAACTAATGTCCTCAAGTACGATAAGGATATTCCGGAGCAATATAACGGATTAATATTAGCCTTACCATGCCTTACATATGCAATCAGCTCCTCTCTTGTTAGTATGGTTATGGGAACATTCCCAAGAAGGCTATTTATCTTGCTCGCTTTCTTGCTTCTAGCAGTAGCAAATCTTATGATTGGCCCTTCATTGATGCTAGATTTTCCAGATACTAATAATTTAGTACTAACAGGAATGGCCCTTTCAGGTGTTGCTTAGGGATTTATCTTTATTCCACTACTTCCGGATGCTATTGATGCAGTATATATTAAGGAGAACATGATTGAAGGCTAAAATGAACATTTTGATCAATTAATGAATGATTATGTAGCTGGACTATATGGCACATTTTTCTCTATTGGTCAGATTATAGCGCCAATACTTGGCGGTGCTTTGTATGATGCTGTGAAGTTTAGAGAAACGACTGATTTCATGGTGCTTGCATGCATTGGGTACTCAATCATCTACTTTGTATTTAATGTTGGATTCAGAATTTTCTCCTAAGAAAAGAAGATCAGAGAGAAGCAAGATATCCTCCTGTAAATGATAGAAAATAGATAGAATTCTGTATAAAATCATACCGATGACGAAGAAGAAATCGAAGACTATATTAAAAAGCAAAGAATGAAATGGTCTAAGCAATCAGCATAAAAAGATGAAGACAAAACCCTAACTGTTATTCAGGAAACATTATTAGATTAATCTAGTAGCATTATTTAGCCGAATCGCAATATGAATATCAACAACACTCTTACACTATCTGCTAACGATGAATCAAATATCCTTAAAAATAATAGTACCAAAATAGCAAAGTATTCACCTCCTAAAAATGATAATAAGAAATGAAGATCTCTAATTTGACTATTTTATTCTAATTTAAAATGCTATACAGTAACTCTCTTCTGGGGTTTTGGGGTTTTGGGGTTTTGGGG